GCTACTAGACTTCGCTGTAATTGTTTGAATATAAACAGAGTTTTTTGCAACGGAAGACGAAATTGATAAATATATTATTAACTCTTGGCCGAGCGACGTCAATCGGATTTCGGATAGTTCGCGTTTCTGAAAAAAAAAAAAAACACCATTGATCGTATAACGTATTGTTATTCCCGACCCCCCCGCTTTCGTAAAGTCAAAAGATTACCATTACGTCCGGTGGCTGTGTCTAGTTCTATCAATAGAGCCGCGTAACCGTTGGATTAATGGCACTACACGTGTACTAACCCGCAACACTCTGTTCAAACAACGAATCATCAGCAATCATCCGTACGACTGGGGATGGTACGCGCAAGGACGAAACTAGATGGCGAAAGATGGGGGTTTATCCCCTGGCGTAAAATTTTAAAAAGTGTAATTCTTTTAATTATTAACAACTAATTTGATATTTGTAACTTTTTTGAATACTGATATTAGGTTAAAACTCAACAACCATGAATGCATATTAGTTATTAGAAAAACATTCTCGAGAAGATTATTTGATTATTGGTCTATGATAGGGCGTAATTTTATTATTTACCCCTGGCGTGAAAGTTCCTAGTTCCACCTCTAGGTACGCGACGTGGATGGCACGTGCTGCTATCGCGACATCAACTCGATCGTGGTACGCAGCTCCCACGTGGGGGTTCGCCGTAAACGAGCTAAGCACTACAACAAATAGCTAACACGACTCGGGAAGTGGTGAGCGGCCCGTGAACGTTTTCCCGTTGCAAAGCGTCCGTGGCGAATCGTCTCCGGCAGAACGATTCATCATCCGTTTTCGTGCACCTGTTTAAATGTGCAGAGTGTTTCGGCGGGGCTTGACGAACGTATCGTCTCGTTCGACCGTCCAAACGTTTCATTTTTTTTTAAAACAATAACACATGATTTCGATTGATAAGATTCTGTTCCATTTTTTTTGCACGAAATTCATAAAATATCCTTATCCCGGTAAAACTGATTTTTTTAGAACATCGTTGGCCATCAGATTTCTTTAAAAAGTTCAGTCGTTTATTCGTTATGATTTTTCGAACGTTCGGATTCATCTGTGTCGATTCAGCAGAGATCAGTGTTTTCAATTCGCGGTCGGCCATTACTACATGTTACATTACTATCGACGAGTACAAGAACAAATGTTCAACTTTCACAAACTCGAAGAAAAATCGGAGAAAATAAACGGAATAACCTCTACTCTGATTATTAAAACGTCAGGTTTAAACTGAATCTTTTTCCGAAATATTGTTTTTAAAATATTGCGCAGAACAAAAGTTATTAGATTCGTTAAATCACGTCGGAACACTTTGTATAATGTACACATTATATCGGCAGCGGTCTTTGCCGAAATACCGCTTTCAGATGGGTTTAGGATCGAAAGTGTTATGCCGTGGAAGGGAAAAAGTATGATTTAACTCATGGCTCGCAATGATCACAGCACGACGTTTATTTTTATACGACAACAAGACGTACTCAGGGCGATAAAAAAAAATAAACGCGGTGAAAGCGAACGACTGGTGTACGAAATCCGAAATCGAATCGTATCGAACTCACGTCGCCCTCGGAACGCTCAACGCGACACTGCCGTTTGTGTCGCGCGCGCGTTAATCGACTACGCCAGTGGTTTCCAACCGTGAGGAATTCTTCCAGGGGAGAGATTTAGAGTTGGATCGGGGGGGGGGGGGAATATAGTGATGATAAAATTACGAAAATAATTATGTTAATTTACATTTACAACCTACATCAACATTTACATTTTACATTTCGCATTTAATCGAATATTAATGGACACTAAGTTTGATTTGCACCACTAAAAATCTTCTTAACTTTAATTTAAGGCATTCGTATGATTTATAAATAAATGTAACGATTTTAGACGTGTTTTTAAAGTACAAGCGTACACGAAACTCGTGTAGTGAATATTTATTTATTAATTGAAAATATTATGAATAAGAAATGATTATGTACATCACGCGGGCACCCTTTAATACATTAATTTATCCTACTTAGCTAATTAAATTATCAAACTAATTTCGTCGTAAAAAAGCGAAAATTTAACTTTTTAAAATCTAAAATTAAGTGATTTTGACAGTATAATCACTGATTTCAGAACTTCAAATAGACATTATTCTTAACATGGACAATAAAATTTCTTAAATTGTAATAAAAATATATAAAATTTTAATAAATAACACATTTATACGAGTATTTGAATAACACGAACTTATACACGTGAAACTTTAATTACGCGAACCGATACACGTGTAATTGCAAATACGCGTTATATGAATCACTATTTGTAATAAATAGTTGTAGTTGTTTAAGACAATAAATTAGCACTAAGAAAACGTTCGTATGCTGAAAAACGAAAACGTTTATAGGCGAACGATGTACATTTTGTAAAAATAAATTCACGTTTTTTAATATTTCTACATTGCCGTTGTCGAAAATCTTTATGCACAGCCGTGTGTGCAGCGATTGTTATTGTAACAGCGAAACAATTATTATTACAATCGTTTCGATTTCATTGCCGAATCCGTCCGTTATTATTCCGTGCGCGCAACCGAATTACATACATATTTCTCTTGTTCGAAGCAAAGATAATCATTTTCCGGACCATCACACATGTTATAGCGGACGTTCAGTCTAATAGATATTAGTATGCTTAATGCAACGCCCAACGACGATACTAAAATTGATAAAAACGAAGGATAAGATAGTGTTCGCTGATCACTAATTATACATGGTTGATGTAAGATAATACTAGTGTTATTAACAACAAAGATTAATACGGTGTTCACAGATCACTGGTTCTATCCGAGTTTATGTCATTTCAGTCGTCATTAAATTAAATTAAGCTACATTTAAAGGCGTTGCACAACTTACATTCAACCGACCAACTGACATTTACACTCAGCATTTAATCTTGAATGGAAAAAAATAAATTATAACACTGCTGATAAATTGTTAACGAATTGTATCTAATTAATTTACGTTGTTGGTATTTACGAATGTCTAATTGTGTACAATAATTTTAAAAATCAATTTATAAGTTAAATTTAGTATACGTTTGACTGCTATTGAATGAAACATTTTTTTTTTAATCTTATCCGTAGCAAGTTAAGAGTTGATCTTGTTCAGTTTTTAAATTATTTTTTTTATTTATTATTCTTATTATGAAAGAAGCGAACAAATGTATTATATTAATTTTTTTAATATTTGAAGGATTCTGTTTGATGGAGTTATAAAGATTCTATTTAAGAATCTGCGTATTAACATTCACGGCAAACGTCATGATTTCAATCTTAAATATGCAAAATATCCAGATTAAAGTGAAATACATTTAAAAAATATTTTAAATAAATATTCAAATACTCATGGCGTTCAAATACTATAAAACTTATTTATTCCTACAAATAAAACATACATTTTTTAAAATTTAAATAAATATACAGATAGTTTATACAAGGTTTTCTTAAAATGGTTGAGAAAACTAGTAAATACGTTCTCTCTGAAGTGGCCAAATGAAGAATTTTTTGAAATTTATCCGTTACGTATATTTATATTACATTTATTTTTCAAAATATCTCCAGAACCTGGGTTTTATTTAATTATCTTTAGAACATTTATGTCACATATAAATTCACGTGAGAAATTTGCAAGAAATATAATACAAATATTCATTTTTAGATTTAAAATATTGTTCTTCATTTGGCCACTCCAGAGAGTACGCGTATATTAGTTTCCTCAGTTATTTCAGGAATACCCTTTATATAGAAATTAATAAATAAATAAAAGCTTATTCTGAAGTATTATTATATTTGTAAGGAATGACCGGTTTCGAATTAAAAGTTTATCGTCAGGTATAAAAAAAGTCAATAAGATCGTCACTTAAAATATTTTGTTTAAATTTAATATAAGTGGCTAATAAATAATTAGTTAATAAAAAATATAATTTAAATACTAAAAATTTCTATTGAATATAATATTTAGAATACACCATTACTTTTTGGAAAAAATATTGTAAAAGTATTCAAAAGCTGTTTATGGAAAACTACCAAATACTAAAAGTTTCGTGATATGACATTATATATTAATACCCTTTGGGTAATGGAACGAGAAACACATTTAATTTTACAACGGCTTTAAATCTCATTGTTGCTTATGTGATTGTTTTTATACAACAAAAGTAATTCTCCTAGAGTTACATATAGACCTAAATTGGCTTAATATTTATTAAAACAATTTTGAAGAATTAACTCATGAATATCATTAGATTAATTCTATAACAAAGCCAAAAGCTTTTTAATATCTAGAATGGCTGTAGAAATAATTTTTTTTAATTGTGAAGCTTAATCAATCTTGACAACGTAGTTTCTTTCAGAGATAATAAAAATTAATTGCATTCTATGTGATAACTTCAATATGTTGTTGTGAAAATAAAACGTTTTATTTATTTTTCTGTGAAATGGAAGATTTTTTTTCCGCCTATGCAGAATGTGGCCATATTATAAATATATATTATTTATACTGTGTTTAAAATAAGTTGTGAGAAATAAATAAAAAAAATTTCTATTGACCCAGTACACAACTACAGTTAATTGATGAAAATGTTTCAATTTAATATTGCAGTTTCTTTGTTTGTTTACGTTAAAAGCAACTGAAATTACTTATTTTCCTCGAAGCACCGATACATAACGATATATTTAGCTTTCGTATAATATAAAATCATGACGTAATATAACGTAATCGTTGCCGAGAAAAAAAATATTCTACTTATACACTCGTTATAATATACTAAGGGGCATAAAGTTGTAAGAATTCCGTAATTAGTATAAATACGAAGAGTTGGTTGGTTGCGTTACTTTAAAAAGTGATGGCATATTTTTCAATTTCATGTTTCTACTTATTAGTTTGCCCCGATTATTATTTCCATGTTGAACGTATTGCGTATATTTATGTTACAGGATCTCAGAGTTTTATTCATACCGTGGATATTTGCCATGTTCCTGGCAACTGCAGTTGACGTCGCACATTCGATATATTTATATGGACTCGACACGGTAAGCTATATTCAAACGCGTATGAATAAAAAATAATTACTATCAATAATTAAAATTTTAAATTTAAAATTATTAAATAGTTAATACTCGTAAATGAATATATAAATAAATAAACAATTCGTTTAAATATAAAAATAAATAAATGCTTACCCCTGGATTATTATTATACTTGTAAAGTACGAACGGTTTGGAATCAGAAGTCCATCGTCAGGTAACAAAGTCAATAAAATCATGACTAAATGTTGAAACATAAAAGAAGGAACACATTGAAGAAAACATTGATTATTTTATATAGAGATAATTTATTTTAATAGAAAAAATTATTATAGATATGTTAAGAAATATAAACAATTTGGTTATTATTATTTATTATTATCTAAAATATATTGATAAAAGATATTATTTTTAAAATAGGTTTGTACATTTAGAATATTATTAAAATTATTTTTATTTATTCCATTGTGTATATGTAATTTTTCCAAGACTCATTTAAGGTAAATTTCGTACTTCAAGTATAATAATACTTCAGGGTAAGCATTTATTTATTTATTTATTTATTTATTTATTTATTTCTAAATATAAACTGTTTACTTATTTTTTTATGTATTCATTAATTATAATAACGCGCATTACGCGGTGACCGTACTTATCAACACATCACGATGTAAATGTATGCACGTAGTTCGCGCCGCTTGTAATGTCTTTGGGATAATCAGCCGTATTCTTTAATTCACATAAATATACAGCACAATACATAACTAACTTTGATGCGGTGTTTCATTCAAGTAGAGTTACCAGAGTTTGAATATCCTCCACAAACCTTCCCAAGACAATCCTTTGCAGCTCTAATAATAATTTGATAAATCACCTATGTAGTCTGTATCCAAAACTATCGTTCGTTAAATTATACACTACTGTATGGACGCCGTAACTGAAAATAAAAATATAGAATCTTACTTTACCCATCGAACGGCGCTCAGGATACGCAAAATAATAGCATTACGGTCATGCGATGCTAAATTACGGTATTATAACCTAATCAGTTTCATTGGAGTGTAAAATATTGTCATAAGATTTACAATATTCTCAAATACATTTATATAAATTATTATAAGCTCTATTTAAAAGTTTCCGACAACATTTATACGTCAATATTTACATATATAAATTTTATGTGAAGTATATATAATGAAATTAAAGTAGAAATTATGTTGATCAAATGTATTTGTGTGTGTGTGTGTGTGTGTGTGTGTGTGTGTGTGTGTGGTGGGTACATTGACAATTAACGAGTCAATTTTTAAGTTATTCGAAAAAAAATTTTTTAAACGTTTTATTTGCGTTCCCTGCTGTTGTCCAACTCGTTCAATAATTATAAATTATAAATGGTTCACTATTTCAAACTCTAATTACCAAAAGTTATTTAAACTTAACACTTCTGCCACGTGGGATAAAGACTCTGGAATAATATTGAATTTGATGCAAACAATGTGCAAATTAATATTTTTCTTCTAGACAGTTGTCTTACGACTGTCATGTTAACTAGACGACGTCTGGAATTAACTTCGAAAAAAAACAACAGATTTCACGAACAAAGCTTATTTTACAAGAATTGTGCTTTGTTTGTGTCACGACGAGTCACGACTAACCAAATTTGAAAAACAAAATAATTACTTTTTTATTTTTATACATAACATTTATAAATTTAACTTCAGAAACCGTTCGATGTTTTCAACCATGCGCTGTGTGTGTTTATACGTATATTTCGTGTAACACTGCTCTGTATATTTAGACCTAGCAATTTTTCGTTTTTGACGTAACACAAAGTTTTACTCTTAACATCGGTGACAGACTCAAGCAGTTTTTCTGCGACCCCAATTTTAAACACCTAAAACCTTTTTAAACAACGATAAAGCAAACATGACGTTTTAGTAAGACATTTTACGCGCTTCACTTCAAGCATAATGTCATTACGTTTTTTTTATTAAACACAGTTATCTTTTATTTTATCTGAAAATAATTTTATTAAAACTTCCATAAAATTAATTTTTTTTTTTTTTTTTACTTTTCTTAGATGTTAAAAAATAATAACTGTGCAGAGTACATAAAGTAGCGGAAATTAATAATAACTAAATAAAAGTGTTTCGGTAAATATTTATCATCCATATGGTACGCAACTATTCTTGAAATCCCCGCCATACATATCCATATCCATATCCATGAACAATCCATAACTCGGTCAATATATAAACGATGTTCACTTGCAGTAGATATCGATTATATATTTGATCATATTCAAAAACTCGATATCTCGAAAAATGCATTTTTTGAATTTTTACACTGCACCTCTTGATTTTTAGATGATCACCAATCCGATTACCAATGACCGGAGATATGTCTTAACCGAAGCTAGCCAGCCGATCATTACAATGAACGTATTATTAATATACTGACCGTTAACACATTTTTTCAATATAATGTTTATTTTTAAATAAAATGTGTCCAGAATATATTACTATTATTTAAATTAATCCAAAACAGAGCGGATAGTAATTTACATTTCGTAATTTCATCCATCAGCCAAACTATTTAACAGTCTTAACGGATTTCTAGAGCCCAACAAAATATAATATATTTACGCAATAAGTCAATCGCCGTTATTGAATTAAGATCGAACACGTTTATATACATTTTAAGATAAAATAACTTATATTTAATTTATTTTATTAAAACCTAGTTGTAAACGAGTCATAAGTTTGATTGAAATACAATTTAATTATTTTATAAGTTCGTTTAATACAATTACTGTGAAACGAAATGAACCTTAAATCTCGTAATAATAGATACATTAATAAATCAATACAAGATTATTTTAGCTTAAATATGTAAAATTCATATTGACAACGAGAATAATAAATAAGCAATGCGTTTCGCAATCATATATTACAATATTTATAATTATAAAATCCATAGATTATGCAAACGTTGCTATTAAAGAAAAATATTAAGTTATGACAGCAATTGTTTAACGATTTTACTTATTTGTACTGGTGTAAAGATTTTTAAAAAATATTGGTTCCGTGAGTGCAATATTTATCGTTCGAAATTGTCACCCCGTAGTCATTCATATTACTATACTGAAATTATATACATAGAATGGAGCTTCCAAAAATTACGAGTACATCAACTTTTTATTTTTTCAATAATGTCAAAACTCCGTTCGTGACATTGTTGAAAATAGCTCAAAACAAAAACGAACTTACTTATATCAGTAAACTTTTGAGTGTACTCCTGAACTCTAAGCAAAGTTATAAGCTTCAAGTTCTATAAGACGTACTAATCTGTTACATGCAGCCACTGTACTTGAATTCAGAATATATAGCTTATATACTACACAAGCTTCATTTTAACCAACCTGTTGAGACGCACACAAAAATTGACACTAGATAATACTTGAGGAAGCATACCTACATACTTCAAGTTTTTATCATAAAAGATTCAATGATAATATCACAGAAATTAAATGTATTTTAACCGACTTCAATAATAATTAAGACCATAGGCGTCTTTTTAAAGCATAATTCATATAATACATAAATATATATACATAGATTATTTCTTGGAATACATCAGTGATCTTTGTCTTTAATTCTGTGATTGCAGTTGTAAATTAATAATGTTATGGTATGTACATACGGTTGTTTATATTTAGCCGTTAATTTTCATTCAATTCCTGCCGTATTACGTTTTCATTATTTCATTATGTTTGTGACAGATTCATCGGAAAATTCTTGTTCATTTTCATACATACCTACTCGCAACTTGAATGTGTTCTGTAATTTTTACGCTTTTACAAAACATTTCGGTTGAACTAGACGCTTGCTGTTTTCAAATCATATAATATTTAAACTGATTCTTCCTACCCATTTAAGAATATGGATATATCTTTTTAATCTAAATCTAAACCGTCCATCTTACCTATAAATTAAATAGAAAATGAATATTATAATACATTTTTATATTATTAAATCCTGAAGTATATAATACGAGTATATATAAATATGTGTAATTATAATTATCCAATGGCAGCACATTCTTAAAATAAACAAAATATTGATTTGATAAATTATTAAAAAATAAAAATACACAGTTATTATTTCAAATGCATAAATGCAAATTAATAAATAAATTATTTGCGGGAAATGCACTGTACCAATTTAGTACAAAATATGATAATATTAAACAAATATCGAATTTACTGAATAATTTAAAAACTAAGCCAAATAATAAATCATCAAACGTTTTCTGCTTATATTATATAATCTTCAAGATTATCATTGCAATTTCTGAATATATTTTTATTTCACGATAGTAATATATAATTATTGCACCTATTGAAAAAGTATAGAAATCGACTAATTTCTACAAAAGTTTATGAAAATGTACATATAGTTGGAAAAAAAATGAAAAAAATTTTAGTCTTTCCTTACCCAACCATTTACGGCTAAAACGTTTGTACCAGTTATACCGGTAACTTAGATACTTCATATTTTAAATCATATATGTTATCTGTGACCAGAGTTGATATATCATATAGGCATAAAAATGTCTATGCTCCCTATATAATATATTGCCCCTTTTCGAGAGTGTCGCTCGAGTGATAACGTCGAGATACATCGCGTTCGCAAGACATGAAAGTTTTAGTGTATTTTTATCGTTCAAGAAGATAAAAAAGTAAATCATAAAAAAAATTGTCTTTTAGAACGTAAACATCGGGCGGAACTTTAAACGCATTAGTTTTACATATCAGACACTTGAACAAAATAAATTATAAATAATTCTCAAATTTTAGTAAAATCTAAATTTTTATTTACATCTGTTTCTATAGCGATGTCTATTTTTATACAAACACATTATTCTTTAACTTTATACTTTTTTTGCATCCTTAATAAAATGACATGCTAGAAGACTGCGTAAATATATTTACAGTTTCAGTTGTATAA